CTCCCCCTCCGCCGGCGCCGCCCCCGGAGCTGCGGCTGATCCTGGAGGAGCTGCGGCAGCTGCAGCAACGGCAGCTGCTGCAGATGCAGCTGACGCAGCCCCTCCGCCGGCGCCGCCCCCGGAGCTGCGGCTGATCCTGGAGGAGCTGCGGCAGCTGCAGCAACGGCAGCTGCTGCAGATGCAGCTGACGCAGGACATCTGCCGCCAGCTCCTCCTGCTGGGGGCGCTGGAGACCCCCCAGAAACCCCCAGCCGGCCCCCAATTCCTGCTGCTGCCCCCCTTCCCCAAACCCCAGCGCTCCGGCATCGCCGTGGCCTTGGCGTCCACGCTGGGCTCCGTCTCCTCCTTGGCGTCCTCCTTGGGCTCGGCGGCGGCGTTGAGGTCGGCGGGGTCGAGGTTGGGCCCGGCGTCGGGTTCTTCGCCGTCGTTGAGGTCGGCGGGGTCGACGTTGCGCTCTTCGTCGGCGTTGGGCCCGGCGTTGGGTTCGTCGTCGTCGTTGGGGTCAACGTTGGGTTCTTCGTCGGCGTTGGGGTCAACGTTGGGTTCTTCGTCGTCGTTGAAGTCAACGGGATCAAGGTTGGAGTCAACGTTGGGTTCTTTGTCGTCGTTGAGGTCGGCGGGGTCAGCGTTGGGTTCTTCGTCGTCGTTGGGCCCAGCGTTGGGGTCGTCGCCATTGTTGGGCCCAAAGTTGAGTTCAACGCCGTCGTTGGGGTCAACGTTGGGGTCAACGTTGGGTTCTTCGTCATCGTTGGGCCCAACGTTGGGGTCAGCGGGGTCAACGTTGGGTTCAGCGCCACCAATGGGGTCAACGTTGGGTTCTTCATCATCGTTGAGGTCGACGTTGGGTTCTTCATCATCGTTGGGGTCAACGCCATCGTTGGGGTCAGCGTTGGGTTCATCACTGGGGTCAGCATTGGGTTCTTCATCAACATTGGGTTCTTCGTCAACGTTGGGCCCAATGTTGGGTCCAACATTGGGTTCGACGCCATCGTTGGGTTCTTCATCAACGCTGAGCCCGGGGTTGGGTCCCGCCGGCGCGGCGCGGCCCCGGCACGGCTGCGGGTTCTGCGGGAAGCCGTTCGGCAGCGCCAGCGCGCGGCAGATCCACCTGCGCTCGCACACGGGCGAGCGGCCCTTCCGCTGCGACCTCTGCGGCGGCCGCTTCACCACCCGCGGCAACCTCAAGGTGCACCTGCGGCGGCACCGCGAGCGCGGCCCCGCCCCGCGCCGCGAGGGGGACGGCGGCGAGGTGAGACGGGGGGCGGCGGGCAGCGGGTCAATGGAGGGGTCAGTGGGTCAA